ATTTTTATAACTCAAAAAACTATAACTAAAACACCTATAATTTAATATAATTAAAAACACAGAACCGAAATTGTTAGAATTAATAAAAGAAAATACTAATAATTTTTGTAATTTTAAAAGGGACATCTATATTAATGCTAAGTGAAGTTATACCCTGTATTTCAACTTTATATAAAACGTTATGATTATTCCAAGCTGGCAACTAGTTCGATTTCTCAGAAAATCAACAAGMAAAAATAACTAATACACATACAGTACATTATGTAATTAAAATTAAATCTAAAACTAATTCGATAAAATCTAAAAGTAAGCGAGCAAATAAGGATGTGATGGCTTTTACAAAGGCTAAATCATTTCCATAAAGTCGAAAAAGTTTTAACAAAAACAAACGAAAAGATATAAACCAACATAACCACAACAAAAAAAAAACTTATTTTTCAAAAAAAATATCGATTAAACGAGTTAGCTACCACAAAAAAAAAAACAAATAAAAAAATAAAATATTTGAACTCTCCAGTCAAACCTCCTAGTGTTTTTATAGTCTTAAAATGACCATGTAAACGAAAGGACACTTTGAGCAGTATTGTTGCGCAAAATTAACAATACATATTAACTCAAAATTTTGAGTCTGGTATGGTAATAGAACTTTCAGCTTTAAGTTACTTTCAGCAACATTATTGCGCAACATTTGAACTATAAACCTGGTCAATACTAGTAAAATCCTGCTTTCAAGCTGCCGATTGCATGGGAAAACAACTTACAACTTTGAGTTCCATGGGATAAGACAATTTACATCGCTGCGAATATGAATAAGTTTGTAGAAATTTGCTATTACTCCAAGTCGACTTGAGCTTATGTCACTTGTAGCTACCGTCTTGGCAACATTATTGCGCAAATGCTGACTTAGGCAGTTTTTAGCGACATTTTGTGTCWTCAAATTGAAAAATAGATATGCATGTCAATATTTAAAGTCCCTTCAGACTTAAGCTTGAGTAATTATTTTAATTTCTAGTAAAAGTCTGAGTATATCCCTTATCCCTAGAAGTAGTATAGTTAGACTCTTGCTAGATGCTTAGAAAAAATTTTGTTTTGAGTCTCAAACAATGTGGACAGCTTTTATTCGCTCTTACTGAAAAACAACTGGAGTTACTTTAACATGTTGTCGAATATAAGCGCTCCTGGTTATGTAATAATTTTAAAAACTACAAACAAACGAACTAAATAAAAGTATTATACGAAAATTAAAATGACCTTACAAGAAAAAAATTAAASAAAGAAGTCCTCAGAAACCGCTTGAAATTAGTAAGTAAAATATATCCAATATTTCGTCAGGCTCCACAACTTGCAACCGGAGCTCCTCATTATATAACCAATTGCACTACTCTATTCAGCAAATTCCATATTTTTTAGTCCAGAACTGCACAGCACTTTAAGCATCCTTTCTTTAACTCGCTCACCATTTTTGCTAACTAACAACTAACTTAGTCATTTCGCTTAATGCATTTAAATACCAACTAATTACAATGAAAATTAAGCCATATAAAGTTAAAGAGACGTTTAATGTATTGTATTAGTTTTGCTCTCTTTCGTTTTACTTCATGTTGCTCTCTTGCTTTCGCTTAAAATTACGCCCAGTGTACCCAAAACATTTTCGATTTTTTTTGTGGTTTTCTTTGTTTTTATACTTTTACGCTTCTAACCCCAATTCCATTCACGGCAATCCGTTCGTCATTCGCCCGCCCAAGTTCGTTCGCTCCGTGCCATCMWTCCAACGCACTCCTTGCTACGTGTTGTTTGTTTGTGGTTTGTGTGTATTTTATTTTGCTAAGCTTAATCATTCTTTACGTTTGACGATTTTCTTCCAGCGCTTGCTTTTTGTCATACGAAATCTAACTCGGAACGCGTCTTGTACATCTTACGCTCCATTGTGCGCTCGAACCACTTCTTAATCTCCGCTACGATCAGCACCGACGATGTGAGCGATACTAAAAAGAGTATATCGTAAGCAGAGAGCGCTTCCGTTTGGAATACCATTTGTAGTGGGGGAAAATAGATGACCAACATTTGCCCGATAATTGAGAAACCGACAGCGAGTAGGAACATTTTGTTCGTGCACAAGCCGATCTTGAAGACGCTCTTCGTTGCCGAACGACTCGCTAATGCATTGAACATATCGAAAAARACGAAACACGTGAAAGTCATGGTCGTGTCGCGCTTCGTTTTGCCCATCGTGCCGTCGGCCATTTCGCGCTGAAATACCCATAATGTGCCGAGCACTATRATGCTGGCGCTYAGCAACACATTCACGATCACTGATTTCGTTATCATCGGCTGTTTRACGTTACGTGGTTTCTGCTTGAGTACATCATGATCGACCGGTTCGACRCCGAGCGATTGCGCTGGTGGCCCATCCATGATAATATTGATCCAAAGGATTTGCATGGCATTYAGCGGATTGGCGATACCCATGAGTGTAGCGAGCGCGATCAATGAGAGAGCGGCAATCGAGGTGCTCAATTGGAAACGTACGAAATTGCGTATATTGTAGAAGATAGCCTTGCCTTCCTCGATGGCGGCACTGAGAATTTGATATGAGAAGGGAGAATCGTCAAAAAAATATATATTTCTAAAGAGTCAAGCATTTTCATGCAATGGGATGCGATCTTGGATGTGTATATGGTGAGCGGAAAAGCATGTTATGATAGAGAATTACTGTTTCCRAACAAAAAAAGGTGTTGAAAATGTGCGACATAATGAAAACTAAGAACTTGGTGAGTGCGGGAATAATAATAGTGAGGGTGAAGTAAAGAGTCAAGCAGTTTCATGAGATGGGATGCGATCTTGGATATGTATATGGTGAGCAAAGAGCATAATATGAAAGTAGTTTACAGTTTTCAAACAAAAAAGTGTTGAAAATTAAGAAGTTTATGAGTGCGGGAATAATTTTGGTAGCGAAAATGATATTCCATATAAACCATGATATAAAAAATTATAAGAAAACAATTTACTCACATTATGGTATGGAAATCATCATTGACTAGTATCATATCAGCGGCTTCTTTGCAGACATCCGTTCCGTTCTTGCCCATTGCTATACCGATATCCGCCTTCTTCAAAGCGACACCATCATTTACACCATCACCGGTCATACCGACAATATTTCCCGTACGTTGTAGAGATTTTACGATCGCGAGTTTATGACGCGGTGTCACACGATAGAAAACACTCACATTATTRGCGACTTTGTCGAGCTGATGCTCATTTAGTTGGTCCATTTCTTGACCGGAGAGCGTCTGCTGATGAATTGTATCGATGCCAATGAGATTTGCTGAAAGAGAGAGAGAGACAGACAGTTGTTTGAAATTTCTTTGAATAAGGTAAATTGAAAAAGAGAAGGAATAATTTATATAAAAGATGAATATAAGAGATGAAAAAATAAAGCTCTTCAGAAAGAAGTACTAGGTACCTCATCTTCTCTAATAAACCCCCCTATTAGATCCCTCACAACTAGAGAGTGACTAGCCTTACTGAGGGCAAAGAGCTCATTGAATCTTTTACGGTGGATTGTGGCCCAAAAGGGTCTAGCGAGGTTCTCGCAAAGCTGTCTAGTAGTAGAAAACATGGGGAGCACCGTCCCGTTTCCGTATTACTGGCATCAGAGTTAGGAATTCTTCCTCGGCATCTCGCCACCTCATCAACTTCCTAGTTGTCTGCGATTCCGCTGTGCCTTCACTTAGGGAGTTTTTTTTTATAGGGTTTCCTAGAAAGTTAAGTAAGCATAATAAGCCTGTAGCTCTGTAGCTCGACTGGCAATATGTGGTTGTCTCCGTCAAATTTTTGATTCTACAAGTTTTCGAGGACCTGCCTTAAATTCTATTATTAAATTCTGCAAAAACCAAGCATATGGAAAACGTAGATCTGTCGCGACAAAAGAAGATCATTCCTTTTTTCAAATAAGAAGAGCTCTTCAGCGATCGGTATAATGATTTTCCAGTAGATCACATTTTACATTATGATCTCGCTCACACAATTTGTTGTCCTAATTAACCAACGACTTTCAACAGGCAACATCTCCCTTTAAATATCTTCACCACCGTTTCCATTAAATTCCTTTTGTTTACYTTTGACGCATTCATTTCATCGTTTACTCATTAGCACCTGCCACAAACAGCAATGCCATTTGCCACCTTTTCATTAACACTGCGCTTTGATGGTTATTACCTTTTTTCCCCTCGCTTGGCTCCCCGCTATATTTGCATTGACCTTTAACGATTCTCTAGTTTTTTTTTTTTTTTTAATTTTTACTCCCACGCTACTTTACGCTTTTACGCTCCAATAAAACGTTACCCGTCATCGCTGGCTCTACTTGCCGAGTTGTTTTTCCTTAACGACTTCATTTCTTATCACCAAATGTTGAGCGCTTTTTCTGCTCACCGCTTTTGTGTTGTTGCTCGTAGCAATGAAGTGCAGTGCTTTTTCTGGCTGCACATTTGCGTTGCCTTTGACGTTGCCACGCTGTACGGAGTACGTGAAATTGCAACGTGGAATGTGCAGTATTACATAGTTACATTCAAATGTAGTATRTACAGTATCCGACAAAACTATGGATACACTAGCACATTTTTGACTATTATTTGAATATTTCTAACAAGAGTTCAAAACTTAAAAGTTTAATTTAGTAATTCAAAATACTGATGTCATAACCTTGCAAGCCGACTTCTTTGGCTTTCCGTCTTTCGATCTATCATGTGCATGTCTCCGTTGTGATATGATGGAGCCACGTTTCATCCATATTCACACGTTGACGCTTAATAACCAAGAATGTAAGCAAAGGTTGTTGACTTGGCTAAACGTGTAAGCAAAAGTTGTGGGCTTGGCTTAAAGGAAACAGGACACTGAAATTCGGTTTTATTGCGATTAAAGAGCTATGAGCACTACTCAACATCATCAATTCGTTGTTGATTAATCCACATACATAGTGTACACATATTTTTTTTGGATACTGTATACATGTATATATATAATATGTGTGTATTCATATATAGATTATAAGTTTGCCAGCAGGTTTGCCGCCTGATTGCTGCTGCGCACTAACTTTTTGCAGTTCATTATGTGGCAGGGCGTTGTTCTTCGATTGAAGTTGCACGTTGTTGGCTTTGTTTTCTGCGCTGCTGTTTATTAGTTTTTCATTTTCCTCTGACTGCGCTTTCATTGCAGTTTCCGGCGTTTTTCAATGTTATCGACAACGTGTSCATGCGTTCTTTTTTGCTACGCTTGTGGCTGCCGCGAAATCAAAGTCACTGCAACGCTTGCTGCTGGAATTTTAATTTCTACGTGATGTAACAGTTCTGCCGAGACAAGGTGGGGGGTGTGGTAAAGCGCATGCCGGCGGTAGAGCTTCGGTAATAAGTTTTGTTTGTGTCTAAGGGATTTCTGGTACTTTGAGGAAACTCTGGTTTATGGGAATAAAATATTTCTGGTTGCACGCAAAGAAATACCGCACGGAATGCTGAAATAAAGTGTACATTTTCATGAAATTTGTTATTTCCCAAYGCGAAGACTTGCTAAATATGCTTTACGCTGGCTTATAAGCCACTAGCTTACTACGAAGGCGCGCAACACTGTCCCACTCTAATGCAGCACTTGCATACAGTAATACAGCGGCTCATATTGCACTCGTTGCGCCGCTGCSCTTAGGCAGCTGCCTTGTGTTATACGTTTTTATTGCGCTGCCACATGCTGGGGATCCTGCWGTTTTCAAAACCGAGAGAAAACAAAACGCCAGAAAGGCTTAACTTTACACTAAACATACACATACAAGCTTRCTRCTTATACACATTSAWATAAACATACTAGTTATACATAYACATACACAAATGCAATCGCACTGTAGCGTGCACRCACTCACACAAATCAACTTAACGCACACACTCACAGCGGAGTCASAAGCAGCTGACACTGCCACTATTGYATTACATTCATATGATCCTTCCTTTTCTGCGCTGCACTTTGCTCCGGAAGCGTAATCGTATTTCCTGTTATTGTCTGCAACGCTGTCGAGTTACATTAATTGTCTCTCASACTTCTTTAAATCGCCGCATGCACACTGCGCTCAGCAAGTGGTTTTCGTAATACAATAATTTTAAATGTTCGCACATTTTATGATTGCAATTCTCAGAACTACACCSATATACCTACATACATACATGTATCTTTTGTAACAGTATATAAATTGCGTGATTTTTTTATGGCTTCAGAGTTTTTATTTGCGGCACAGCTGCCGGTAAGTGGCTCTTGGGTCATTTGAAAATAAGTTGCAGGAAAAAAAGTCTGAGATTTCATGAGGCTGGCCTTGGCAGTGCCCATCTCATACTTGCGCTTCGATGTAATGTGATTTTAAAATCATAAGTTGAACTTACGAGAAGCTGGCTGCGATCTGGCTCTATAAAAGGAAATCTGACACCGTGCCTAGGTGACTCTTGCKCCGCGATGAAGTGACTTAAAACAGGATAAAGGTTGTGGACTTGGCTAAATGTAAAGAAAAAAGGCAACCGACCATAAATGTAAAAAAGAGGCCACTGACCTCAGCCAAACGTCCTCATAAAATGTAAACAAAGGTCAGTGACTTCAAATGTAAACAATGGTAGTGGAATTGACCAAATATAAACAAAAGGGTCATTGAACTTATAAAGTGTAAACAAAGATACGGACCCCAAAGGAAAATAAGTCTATAATCCACATATCTAAATGTAAACAAAGGGTCGCAGACATTGGARAAACCAAAGGGGGCATTAATGTTCTTATGGTATATAAGTAGTAGTAATAATATCTTTTTCGGAACCGAAGCTGTCTCTTATACACATCAAACCAAAGGGGGCATTAATGTTCTTATGGTATATAAGTAGTAGTAATAATATCTTTTTCGGAACCGAATGCAACTAACAGCGCAGTGATCAACAATAAGTGGTGTAAAATATAAAAGTTTTAAAATTTAATTACACCAGGCACTTCTACACAGTTTATAAAGATGTCATAGAGACAACTATACAGGCTCGAAATCAATAGAAATCTACAAGTGAGCAAATGAAGCTAGATAAGTAGTCGCTCAAACGACTCAAGTACTTTCGCACTAAAATTTAGATATTCAGAGTACTGACACTTTTTACATAATTATATACACACATTGCACAATTTTTTAGTCTGAGTGCATCGTAAATAATGTTGAGATCATGTTAAGTCACGAGCGACCAAATTGTTTATGGCTTCAATTTCGCTCGTTTTCATATATTTGCTGATAGCGAATGATATTTTTGTYTTATTATGAATACAAGGAATTAGATACAAAAGTATATTCGACTGAAAATTTTTGTTTAAACATTTACTGTCTGAAAATTATTTTAAATTTGAGAGCAACCCCCTTATGTCACTTACTGACGAATTAGTATCTTAAATGAACCCAACCACTCATAGCCTGACAGATAATCATCCCAAACAAACCCAACCACTCATGGTGGATAAACATTAAATGTGAATCACTTCAGTCAGGTACTGGTTCATACTTACTGACGAATTAGTATCTTAAATGAACCCAACCACTCATGGTGGATAAACATTAAATTTGAATCACTTCAGTAAGGTATTGGTTGGTTAATCTTATCAGCAAAAAATAAAAATAAAAATCAACATTATAAAAAAAAAAAATACATTATCATTAAAAGACTTTCCACTTTGTCCTTATATTTATTTAGACTCTGAATTCCACTGATATTGCATAATTAATGCTGATACAATCTTTTTCTGCCAATTAGCTTTACAGCCAGTAGCCGATATCGTGACATAAGAGATTACAAAGAGTCATAACAGTAAATCTGTAGTTAAGAGTAAGCTGCTTGTGGCAGTAACAAGGTGGTTGTAAATCTATGCTTATATACAAATATTTTAATGAAATTGTTATTGAGTGTGAATGGCCAGTGAGCTTCATTAAGCCAGCGCACGTGTTCGATTCAACCACTCAAGTGTAAATAACGTTAAGAAATTTTAAATGCAAAACCGCAGCACTTATCATTAACAGCAAACAAACAGGCAATTTGAGGGAATTAAATTAATTTTTTACGCACAATTAACTTGAATTGTCAGAAATGCGTCGTAAAAAAAAAAAAAATGAGCAAAGAATCTATAAACAGTAGACACGCGAAAATTGTTAACTGAGGTAAAAATGCGGGGTAGGAATTTTTTTAATTAAATAATATTATACTTGACGAAGCCGAAGAATTTTTGTCACAACAAAATTTCAAATAACTTTGCGAACAATATTTATTTTCAAGAAAA